TTTTTTTTTTTTTTTTTTTTTTTTTTTTTTAGAGAGAGAGAAAGGGAGAGGGAAAGAGAGAAACATCGATGTGAGAGCATCATCAGCTGCTTCCTGGGCATGTGCCTCGACTGGGAATCGAATCCCCAGTGAGTCCATGCATGGAACGACGCTCAACCAACTGAGCCACACTGGCCATGTAAAAGTTGACCTAAGTTATCCAGAATATAGGAAATTCAACAGACAAAAATCCAGCTTTTGTAATCTCATTTTATTTTAGTCAAGTAGGGAATGCCTTGGAGGGTATCTTACATAATAGCTTACTCTGCCTTTGTAGGAAGCAGACCAGGAAATAGCTTTAAACAGTTGGAACTGAATCATCTTAGAGAAATGTCGATTGCATTTTAAAAATTGAGAGTCAGCTCCTGGTTCCTTCAGGACAGCCTTTCCATTTCCACTCATCTGTCCCACAGCCAGCAGTACCCATTCTTCCTCTGCTGTTGGTGAGCTCCATCTTGAAAGGAAGCTTGTAGGCACACAGCCAGAGATCAGGAAAAGTTGCAATTACTTTTACAAAGGCCCCCTAAGCTTAACTACAGAAATACAAAGCTTATTCTTGTAGTTGAATCTGCTGATTAATTTGGTAATTGCTCCCTTGAGGCTGTGATGGTAATCCAGTGCCTCTTTTCCAAGGTACTGGGTGAGCAATGGGCTGGATCTTGGGATTTAGAAGCATATCTCTGTCTTTCTCCACCCTAGCTCTGTAGAAGTTTGGTCATGAAGAATTTCCACCTATTCTAAACTCTTCTTAGTATAACAAGATTATAGGAAGTAACTCAAATGGATTTAGAACTATCTAGCTGGAAAGAAAAGTATCTACAGTACTTTACTAGGAAACACCTTTACCTTCTATACAGCCTGGCTGTTAAGTATTGGCTGATATGAGCAAGATCCCTTCCTCCTACTCCCCTGTATGGAGAATTCTGAGCCCAGGAACATCCAAAATGTGCCCAACAAGGCTAGCAACAATGGGGATTGGAACTAACATTTACTGTGTACCTACTGTATGTCAGACACAGTGCTAGGTGCTTTATATGATGTTATATTATTTAGAAACTGATGTTCAGAGAAGTTTTTACATGCCTAAATTCACAAGGATAGAAAGTGTTAGAATCAGGGTTTTAAACAGAGGACTTCACATTGAGGTCAGCTGACGGCAGTGTCCTGTGCTGGAGGCAGAGTTCTAGCTCTGCTTTTTCTCAGGGTGACCTGGCACCCCTGAGACACTGGATAATGTGTTCTTACATCTCAGTCTGTTGGTATGTGAAGCAGTCATTTTGCTTATTTTGTCCTTTGAGAATTAACTTGTTTGGAGACTCTGTGCAGAAAAGTAGCGTCTGAGAGTGGGTGGCTTTGCCCTGGAGGCTGTCTTAGACTGTTTATTTGGAAATAAGTAAAATGCTTCCATCGCTCTGTGGTAGTGTGGTCTGCTGGTGGGAACTAGGAATAGGCATTGGGTGGCCTGGGTTCTTATCTCAATTTCCCTGCCATTTCGTGGTTTGTCTCTGCACAGTTATTTAACCTGAGCATGCTTCAGTTACTTCTACTGTCAAATAGATAAATATTAGCCCTACCTACTTCCCAAGATGTTGAGAGGCTAATTGAACAGGATCTGAGGAATGACAAGTGCTGTACTGGAGTCTTACCTCGGAAGCCATCTACCCTAGATAATTTTATGGTTGGGGCATTTAAAATCTTTCCTGTTTTCCATGAATAATTTGCCCTGGCTGTGTAAACGGTATTTGAAAATGAGTTATTTGGCTTCCATTGACCCTATATTTTCCCACCTCCTCCCAAAGCCTCTTCCTCCCTGAGATTACACCTCATAAAATGCAGTGTGTCACCACCAAGCCCCCGCCACTTCCTGTTTCGTTATAAGGATGCCATACACTTGCATAGCTCTTCACAGTTTACAAAGAGATTTATATACATTAGCTCGTTTAATACTCACAGCGTGATGAGGTGGTTATTATTGCCCACACTTTATAGATGAGGAAACAGGTTCGAGGTGTTTAGCTTGCTCTAGGTCACACAGCTGAGAAAGGAGCTGAGTCAGACCCTGAGCTCAGGCCTGCTGGCAAAGTTCCTCCGGGCCCTTTTCACCAGGCCACAGCTTTTTGCACCCTTTCTCCCTTCCCTTACCCTTCTCTGGGTCAAACCAGGCCTTTCTGTGCTTGAAACCGGGATGTTTTTACCCACTCTCTCTTTCACACCCTGCGATACTTCAATTATTGTAATTACCCCACCACCCAGAAAAAGTCTGGCTGGCATAACAGAACAATGCATGCCCAGGTGTGGCTTTATCTGGGACAGCTGCTGCCTGCCAGGAAAAGGGGAGGGAGGGGAGGGAGGAGAAGGGGAGAGGCCCCATGCTGCCTCCTGAAACCTAGCTAGAGACTATATTTGCCTTTTGGCTGTTGTTGCCATGAAAGGGAAGAGCAGCTAGGCAATGGGCAAAGAGATGAGATGGGAAAACAGAAACTCTGTGCTTCTCCTCCCAGTTTTGGGGCCCAAAGCTGATGGGTAGAGGTGGAGGCTAGGTATTTGGACTCCTGGCTGTGACCTGAAGCTAGGTGCCTTGATTTCTCAAATATCTGAAGACAAAAAGCTGAGCAGGCAATCTGAGAGGCAATGTGAGCCCAATCAGGAGGGGTCAGTTTGCTTCAGTTTGCTCCAGCAAAACCTAGAGAGCAAACGGGAAAGGAGTCATGGCTAGGACTGCTCTGAGGCTGTGCACCTAGCGACGTCGTCATAATGACGATTAAAAAGACACTTGGAATACTCTGCACCAGCACTCAAAAGTGATTTTTAATTCAGTAGGCCAAGCACCTTTTGACCCGGGCCTGGAAATAACCAGAAGTAGTTCTTGGCGGCATATGAACCGGTGACTATTTAACCGGCTCACCTAAGAAGGACTATATGATCTAGGCTGAGTGACTCGTGGGACGTTGAAAGGACCTCAGGGATGTTCCTTTCCCCTTGCTTGGCATCTTCCTAACCATCCCCTTTTCTTTCTCCACTCCACCCTCACCTAAATCCCGCAATGTGTGGCTCTGGACCAGGTGGAGAGATGGAACCGCCGTGATCAGAAGCTGCTGGAGGCAGTGCAGCGGGGGGACGTGGGGCGCGTGGCTGCCCTGGCCTCCAGGAAGTCTGCCCGACCCACCAAGCTAAACTCCAACGGCCAGTCCCCGTAAGTCCCCCTGACCCCACCTTCGGTATGCCGTTCCCTTTGAAAACTCCAAACCCCAATATATCACAGGACAGGGAATGCCTACAACTCAGAGACCTTTTTCTCTTAATAAATCTTTGCTACTTAATAAACAAAGTGCTGCACAAAGTGAGGGAAAAGATACTGTCCCTGAGCTCTGTCCCCCTCACAACTCACAAACCAGATCCACAGAACTGACCAACAGGACATAAAGCCCACGAAACAAACAAACTGATACATACTCTAAACAGAGTATTTCTTCACTGCACAAAGAGGAGGGGGTGTGCTCGGGACACTCAGAGTGAAGTGGTAGCCACAGGAGTCACGTGGCTAGAAACAGTAGCAGGACAAGAGGGATACTCCCCCTTGTCTCTGCCCGTCCAGCCCTCTGCTCTGTGACACTTCCAGTCTGGTAAGGGTCCCGGACACCCCTGCAATAGTCTGCGATTGCTTGAGACCCATAGTCTTATTTCTATATTTGCTTCCAGCTTCCTCTGACTTTGTGACAGTAGCCATATGGCCTTCTCTTTCTCAGTAAGTCAGGCCAGGGAGTTTCCCTCTCTGCTTTCGGGATTGGCTGTGGGGTTAGAGAGAATAGCAGCCGGTGATTATTAAGATTATTAGGATTCTCCTGCTCCTCACGCCCTGGTCCCCTCATGGGTCTGCAGGTTTCACCTGGCGGCCTCCAAAGGCCTGACGGAATGCCTGACTATACTGCTTGCAAACGGGGCCGACATCAACAGCAGGAACGAGGACGGTGAGTGGGGTGGGCCATGCTGCAGGCTTCGCCCTCTACAGGCGCAGCGGGGCCAGTGCTGGGCCTGCTGGAGGTTCCAACAGCAGCCCCCTGTTTCTTTCCTCCTAAATTCCGGCCAGCATCCTTCCAGGGGTTGCCCTCCCTGCAAGCTGGGTATACTTTACCCACCTCCACCTCAAGTACCAGACTCTTGGGGAACAGGAATTTCTGGCCCTACATGGCTGAGAGCTTCTCTCTCTAATCTTCCTTTGATTATCTGTGCGTCTCTTGCCTTCCCTCCCGGTGAGTCATTGGCATGCACAGGGCCACCCACCTCCCTCTCCCCCTCTTTCTCTTTCCAGGAAGCACCGCCCTGCACTTGGCCACCATCTCCTGCCAGCCACAATGTGTCAAGGTCCTGCTCCAGGTGCGAGCAACCCCTTGATACCACTCCTGTGAAGGGGAGAAGCAGAGCCAGAGTTCCCTAACTTTGTCTTGAAGTCACAAGCAATATTTGATCAAATATACCCCTCTCATCCCTAATAAGAGCTGGTAGTAATTTATTCTTTAATTCACAAACATTTATTTAACTTAATGCTGCCCTTGAGGGCAGGTCATAAAGTAGAGCTGCCAGGGACTGACTGCCTGTCAGTCAATATGCATATACTGAGCTCTGCCAAGACCAACTGCTGTGATGACGCTGGGCAGGCAGAAGGAGGGCAGAGATTTTCAAATCAAACCAAAATCCTACCGTCTGTTTTTGAGGTGTTTGTAGTCTAGGAGCACAAGGAGAAATATGCATGTGAAATGACACGTAGACAATTTATAAATAAGTTTCCAAAAGTACAAAAGGCACAGTTCAAAACAGGCCTTTGGGCTAATGGCTGTTGGGCTTTTGTTCCTCCCAGCCCTTTCCAGGTTTCCCAAGCATGACCCTAAAGTACGAGTCACGGACTCAGGTGTTATTTTCCCTAACATGTTTTTCTATAATCTGATTTTTCTTAAGCCCTAGGTTTAAGAACCAGGGTTGAAATTCAAGGCTGCCTCTCATCTGTAAGAAATGGATTGGGCTTGCTGAGCAGTTGGACAAAACCATGAGCCTCCCACCCCTCCCTATAGAAATTGGGAAGCTGGGGACCCAACGGTGGGTATGGGGAGAACATTAACACCACCTTCCATGCTGCTTCCCTTTGTGGCTCTTTACAGCACGGTGCCAATGAAGATGCTGTGGATGCGGAAAACCGTAGTCCGTTGCACTGGGCAGGTGTGTGCCTGGGGACCGGTGGGAAACAGGGCTCAGGGACTGTAGGGTAGGAAGGGAGGGGAGGGTAACATCTGGCGAGAGGGCAGGGCTGGTTGCTGGAAAGGCTGGAGGGGATGCTGGGTCACCATCTGACTGCGGGTACTTCCTGCTGCCCCTTAACCCAATGGCCCCTCAACCCTCCCAGCCTCCTCGGGCTGTGCCTCAAGTGTGCTCCTGCTGTGTGACCACGAAGCCTTCCTGGACGTCCTGGATAACGTGAGTATCGGCTGGACCTCTGGCTGTGCCCACACAGGGAGGCTGCTGCTCTCTCTGAGCTTGACTGGCTAAGTTCTGTGACAGGGGTTGTACAGCACCACCTTCCCTTCTTCCTCCCCCCCTCCATCCCCTCCTCTTCCTCATAGAGAGGTTAAACCTTGCCTTCTGGAGAGCTGTTAATCCCTCAGAAGGGAATATTTAACCCCAAGACTGGGTTTTTTCCTGGAGAGGTGTGGGGAGAGGGGAGCTGGAAGCCCCTGGCCCCCGGGCTTCTCAGGAACCCTCTCTCCACGATCTGTGCAGGATGGACGCACACCCTTGATGATCGCCTCCCTGGGTGGTCACGCAGCTATCTGCTCACAGTTACTGCAGAGAGGCGCCCGAGTGAATGTCACCGACAAGGATGACAAGTGAGCCTGCCCCGTCTTCCCACCCCAGATCCAGACCCTGACCAAGCTAGGAAGGAGCTGCTGGGCAAAGTGTGTGTGTGTGTGTGTGTGTGTGAGAAGGCAGGCTGGTTTCTGTGTTCTTGGTCTTTTTTCTTCTGAGTGGTGGCTTAGAAGAGCTCTGCCTGTTGGTTCATTGTTTTCCTCTTGAGATGTTGAGAAAGTTTCCTTATTCTTTTTTTTTTTTTTTTTTAATATATCTTTATTGATTTCAGAGAGAGGAAGGGAGAGGGAGAGAAAGATAGAAACATCAATGAGGAGAGAGTCATTGATCGGCTGCAGCCCGCAACCCGGGCATGTGCCCTGACTGGGAATCGAACCCCGATCTCCTGGATCCCAGGTTGATGCAAAACCACTGAGCCACGCCTGGCCGGGCTCCTTATTCTTTTTTATTCAGCTGCTGTCACCGCCATCTTCCTAATGTATGTGATTCTCTGCTGGTTTTCAAACTGTCTCCTAAGCAATGGAATCCATTTTTCCAATAAAGAATTTGTGCAGCCCTGGCCAGTTCGGCTTAGTGGTTGGAGAGTTGGCCAGCGGACCGAAAGGTCGCAGGTTTGCCTCCTGGTCAAGGGCATGTACCTCAGCTGTAGGTTCAATCCCTCGTGGATCAATGTGTGTCTCTCATGTCGATGCTTTTCTCTCTGTCTCTCTTTTCCCCAGCTCCCTCCCTTTCATTCTCTCTAAAAATCAATGGGGAAAAAAAATGTCCTTGGGTGAGGATTTTAAAAAATAATAATTTATGCAGAACTTTAATGTATAAAGCAGAGAAGAATGAAGCCCTGTCGACTGGCCCATGCTTTCTGATGCTGCAGCTCCAAGTAATGACATTTGAAAAGTTCTGGGCTGGCCTAATACTCTAATTGGCTGGTATTGGTCAGTGGTTCTCCTGCCCAGACTGAGAGAGCTGATCCTGTAGTGGAATTTCTGGAGCCAGGACCCCTGGATTCCAGGGGGAAAGCCTATGCTCAGGTTTGCCCTAACCCATAGATCGGCTCTGATCCTGGCCTGTGAGAAAGGCAGCGCCGAAGTGGCCGAGCTGCTCCTGAGCCATGGAGCCGACGCGGGGGCGGTGGACAGCACCGGGCACGATGCTCTGTATTACGGTCTGCGCACACAAGACAAGGCCCTGTGGAAGCTGCTGCAGCAGGCCATGACCTGGCGGCGGGGAGGTAAAGCCAGTTCCCTTTTGTAACTTCAAGATGCTCCTTGACAGCTCAGAGAAGTGTCTTAGAATCCCATTTGTCCCCATGGAAATAATCACCTGACAAATAATTGTCACTTTAGTCAAGAGTTTACTTATTTATTGCTGCTACTATGAGATGACCCCAAATTCACAAAAGCATGATCACAAAGTTCCTTAATGAAGCCTTGTCGCTTACTAAAGGCAGCTCTGGCCAGTACTATCGTAGTATTTCTGAGTTGTAATTGTACATCTCTGTGTGGTTTCCCAGTCAATCTCTCTCCTAATAGACTGTAAACCCCTCAGATGACAGGCCATTTCTGTTTTGTTCACCATTGATGTCCTGGTGCCTATAACAGTGCCTGGTACAGTGTCCAATAAAGTGAGTGAACAAAATGAATGAGTTGGCATATCTCTGGGATAGGGAACCAAGGTTGCTGGGTTGAACAGGAGTGGCTCCTAGCGCCAGGAAGACATGTGTGGTAAGGGTTATGACACTGAGGGGCCACTCCTCTCAGCGAGAGTCAATGGGACCTGTCTGCTCTCATTTTCCTCATGTCTTTTCATATAGGTCAGGGGCCAGTTCAACACCCAGATGTGGCATCTAAGGTAAGAAGACCCCAAGTGCCTCCCCTTCTGACCCACCCCAGGCCATCCTACTGGGGTATCTCCCAGCTAGTGATCCATGGGGGTGTCAAGATGGTATAAAAGAAGAAAGGCCCTCCTGGGTCCGGGATAGCTGCCCTGGCTTTACTTCTCGTTGTTTTCTACACAGGCCTCTCCGTCCGAACCTCAGGTGGGCTCTCCACCTAAGAGCTCACGGGGAGCGGGGCCCAAGGAGGAGCAGGGAGAAGAGGGGCAGGAAGATGCTTGTTCAGAGGAGTGGAAGTGGAAGTATGAAGAGGAGCAGAGGAAAGTTGCTCAGTTGGAGCAGGAGCTGGCGCGAAAGACAGAGGAGTGTAGAGCTCAAGCTGCAGCCTACCTGGGCCTGGAGAACCAGATTCGAGAACAGGCGCAGGAGCTGGGGCTCCTGCTCTCCCAAGAGCCCAGATCTCCAGGAGGGCGGAGTTCCAGTGTCCGTCCCGGAGGGGATGGCATGGAGCAGGGTTGTCCTCTGGACCTGCTGGCTGAGGGAATACAACAGCTAAGGAGGCAGCAGCAGGCAGTAGCCACAGCCTCAGCCACAGCCTCAGCCAACCCAGTGTTAGCCCCCAAGAAGACCAAAGATTCAGCCCCAGGGGCGATGGATTATGAAGCACATGGAAGGCCCCAACTGGAAGAACAGGAGCCACCCCAGAGTCCAGTGTCTGAGATCACGGGGAAAGCCACAGGACAGCAACCGGCGACTGACAGCGGACAGGCCCCTGGCCCTGATCATGCTGACCAGCCGCGTGCTGGCCAGAAGGAGAGGCTGCGGACCCCGGGGGCTGAAACAACAGACACTGGGGCTGAAGCAGTGGGCACAACAGCCCTGAACCAGCTCCTGCTACAGCTGAGGGAGGAGCTGGCTGCTGTGTGGCGAGAAAAGGATGCTGCCCTGGGGGTTTTGTCGAGGCCGGTGCTGGAGGGAGTCCTGGGGACACCCCGGGCTGAGGCTGCAGCGGCTGCCTGGGAGAGAATGGAGGCCAGGTTGGAGCAGGTGCTGGTGAGGCTGCACCGGGCCCAGGCGGGACTGCGAGAGGAACCTGTGAGCCCCGCTCAAGAGCCTAGGGAAGGAGCCCCAAAGGCAGGCTCAGAAACCAGCACCACAGAAGATGAAGAGAGGGAGAAAAGGGTTCTGGGGTCCCGGGGGGAGCCTCTAGGGGCCCCTGGCAGGAAACAGGTGCCCGGAGGAGGGCTGGCCAAGGGACCCCTGGAGGAGGAGGTGTCGGCCCTGAGACTGAGCAACAGGACCTTGCTAGAGGAGCTGGGGGAGCTGGGGCGGGAGAGGCAGCGCTTGCAAGGGGAGCTGCAGTCCCTGAGCCAGCGGCTGCAGCGGGAGTTCGTGCCCAAGCCCGTGGCACAGGTCCAGCTCCAGCAGTTGCACAGGAGTGTGGAGCTGCTGACAGACGAACTGGCCCTGGAGAAGGAAGCCACGGAGAAGTTGCGCAAGCACCTGGCCTCCCAGAGCAGTGGCCTCCGAGGGCTGTGGGACTGCCTGCCCCAAGACCTGGTGGGCAAGGGGAGCGCGCCGGGCCCGGGAGCCGAGCCGCTGGAGGAGCTGCAGGCCTGCATCCGCACCCTGGTGGCCAGGCACCGGGAGGCCCAGCAGGCGCTGGCTAGGCTGGAGGAGGAGAACCGGGGGCTGCGGGGATCCCCGGCCCCATGCGGGGAACCAGGCACCTCCTCAAAGGTGCCAGCAGCCCCTGACGTGGCCGCTTTAGAGCAAGACTTGGGGAAGCTGGAGGAAGAGCTGCGCGCCGTTCAGGCCACGATGAGCGGGAAGAGCCAGGAGATCGGGAAGCTGAAGAAGCTGCTCTACCAGGCGACCGAGGAAGTGGCCGAGCTGCGGGCCCGCGAGGCGGCCAGCCTGCAGCAGCAGGAGAAGACGCGGAGCTCGCTGGTGGCCCAGGCCCAGGCCTGGGGCCAGGAGCTGAAGGCTCTGCTGGAGAAGTACAACACCGCCTGCCGGGAGATGGGCCGGCTGCAGGAGGCCGTGGCCGAGGAGCGCGGCCGGAGCGGGGCCCTGGCGGCCCGGGCCACGGAGC